TAATGGCCTTGTTAAATGCGCGATCAACTTACTCTCAGTTAAAATATTATATAAACTGGCCCTAAATTATGTTATTCTTTATTTTTGTACTGAGTTACCAAAAAAATTAAATGTTAAAATTATCCAAACAAATTTAACAAATTTTTAAGGTAGTTAGAGAAATAGAAAAAAAAAAACAGTGTCTGTCGCATTTATAAACCTGTTTTAGCAAAGCCGAACAGTCGGCCGATTAGTCGGTTTTTACTGGCCGAACAATCGGCTAGTCGGTTAGTCGGCCAGACCTACAGTCGGTACATCTCTACTTTTAACTATTCGGGTTTATAAAATTTTAACTATTCTCATGGGTAACTTTAATTTTGGGTATCGCGAGGGCATGCAAGCGAGAAAAACTGACAAACTTGTCTGTCGAAAATATGGAAGAAGTTGGTACTGCTTTAATTGTTAACATCAAAACATCAAAAACCAAAATAGAACGAGTGTTTACCGTAGTCAACAAAAACAAGGAAACGATAAAATTTACAGACATGGCAGAAAATATGCTACAGTACGTCCCCCTCACACACAACATCGTCGCATTTTTTTGTTCTATAATAGTGGAAAATGTTCAACTCAGGCAATTGCTAAAAATACATTAGCCTTATTCTCAAGACACATCGCCACATTCCTGAAATTACCAAAACTGGAAAATTTTACCGGTCACTCATTTCCGCGGTCTTCCGTAACCCTTTTGGTCGATGAAGGTGTAAATTTGTCTACACTAAAACATATGGTCACTGGAGATTTTCAACGACAGCTGAAAGTTATATTCAAGAATCCGTTGAAAATAAAAAAAAAAAAAAATAAGAATTGGTAGGGCAATGCAGAAAGCGTCGACGTTATATGCGTTCAGGAATATACAGTCGCGGCCAAAAAATTTTGAAAATCAATTCAAAATGTGAAACACCTTTAAGTATTGTAACCTTATTCTTTAGTTTTGTTGTTTTTGATGCTGCAGGCATGCTACCACTGGACGCGACGTGACAAATCTTTTAAACTTCAAATATCAACTGACAATAAAGCAAATGGACTATATCAAAATTTTCAAAATGAGAGGAAAATGACGTTCAAGATTTTCTGGCCGCGACTGTATCTCAAGACAAGCTTTGTTATAGTAGCTTGCATAGATATAGTAGCCGTCCATATAGTCGAAATTTGCGAATAAAAATAAAATAAAACCGGTTCAAACGGAGCCGACGCCCGACGATGGCTTGCAAATTCTGACGTAACTGTGGCACACGTTGCACAGAGAGACGTATTTAATATTAAATGTCATCTTTTCCGTTATGATATAAGTACCATTAATCTGTTTAATTTCTGAGTTCAATCTCGTCAATAAAAACGAAGCTCTCTTCACTATACACAAGTAGTGGTATGGTATATTCATCGTTGCGGAGGTAGGTGGAGCGAAAAACCTAGTCATCTTAGCAGTAAACACGGCTATAAATTAGTCCACGTGGATTGTTTGTTTCCTGTCATATTTTAATTTGCTTGAACCAATTGTGTTGTACCAAACGGTTATTACACCTGTTGAAATACAGTTTTAAACTTTCATCTTTCTCTACGACAAATCGTTTGTCGTAGGTAGAAAATAGTAAGATTACAGTGAACGTAAGATTTTGTGCATATGGCCTTAAATACACCCCTGTGCGATGCCACGCGTGCCGTAGTGACAGAACTTGCAAGCCATCGTCGGCTCCGTTTGGTCTCTGTGTTTGTAAAAAAGAGCATAAATCTTATAATTTCTAAGATCGACGTTTTTTCGGTTGCCTCCTGTAGATTTCATTGGAGGTCTCTCGCTTGATGCTCCAATAGTATTCTGCCAGCATTTCCGGGTTCCATCGACTTTGGTAACGTCTTTCTATCCACAAAATGTCCTGGTGGAAGCGTTCACCATGCTCGTCACTCACGTCACCACAATTTTTAGAAAAAAAAATCAAGGTGTGAATGCATAAAATGCACTTTTAAGGAGATGTTACATTTTAATTTTTCGTATGATGACAACATCTTTTCTACTAACTGAACGTAGTTTTCTGCCTTAGTGCTTCCCAAAAAGTTTGTAGCAACCATTTTAAAACAGTTCCATGCCTTCTTCTCTAATCCAGTTAACACTTCATCAAATTGAGGATCGTTGAATAACTTTTTTGTCTGAGGTCCAATAAACATACCCTTCCTTATTTTTGCGTCACTTAAATTAGGAAATTTTGACCTAAGATAAAGAAATGCGTCGCCGTCTCTATTCATGGCCTTAACAATATTTTTCATCAATCCCAGTTTAATGTGTAAGGGGGGTATGATGATTTTCTCCGGATCAACCAAAGGTTTGTATTTAATATTTTTGATTCCTACTTCAAAAGATTCGCGTTTTGGCCAGTCTTTCTTTATGTAATGCAGAGTTCTGTTTCTGCTGTCCCATTCACAAAGAAAGCAACACTATTTTGTATAGCCTGGCTGGAGATTTAATAGAATATGAATAAAGTAAAATATTTATGAAAATAACAATAAAGAGTAAAATATACAAACCTAACAAAATTTCTATTACTTTCAAATCACTACATATAAGACATTGGTGTTTCTCGTAATTAATGCTCTCCAAAATATTTTTGAAGTTGCCGTATGTTTCCTTCATATTTGTTGCATATCCAACCGGTATAGACGGCAATTTGTTCCCAATATGTAATAAGACAGCTTTCAAGCTAATTTTGCTGGCATCTATAAAAAGTCTCCAGCTTTCGGGTTTGTAGTCAATACTGAGTTCTTCCATTAGCTCTTCAATTGTGGTGCAAACTGTGATAGATCCTTCTATTTTGAAATAAGCAACTAAGCTTTTGGATCGTGTTCGAAAGTAACAAACTGAGACAAGTTTTCGATATTACAAACAAATTCGTCGTCAGGTTTGTTAGATGAAGATTGTATGTTAGCTATAACACAATCATCGGTTTCAAATTCGACTTCTCCAGATGGTGATGGAACTGACGAGGCTGACGAAGATTAGAGGCCTAGTGACGCATGATACGGTACGGTAACCAACAGAATTCTTCTCTTTATTAGAAATGCCACTTCTAAGGGGGGTAGTCAGACAAAAGTAGCGATCATCTATGTGATTATTTGGTTCACGCCACAGTGTGGGAGTACTAAAGGGAAATTATTGAATTTTATCTCTCTTCCATTGATATAGATTTACAAAACAAGAATTGCAACAACCATTTGGAGTCCATGTCTTGTCAAGATGCTTCATGGCAATTCCAAAGCAAGACATGTAAATTTCCTGCACTTTCGAATTAATTTTTCTTTTTTGGGACAACAGTTTAACATGTCTACAAATAAAACAAAAATTGTCGGGATTATTAACACACTTTCTCGGCATTTTAACACAAAACTGGACAGTTTGCTCAAGAACTCTATAAGACACTAATAATTTGACATTTAGTGATGCTTTGGTGTAACGCCTACTTGACAATAATAAAATACAGCTTAACAGAAAGTTTCCTATTAATAGTACGATTTTTGTGGTTTTCAGAGATAACATTTTATAAGATTACTTTTAAACGAGAGCTAAGTTTTGGTTTAGCCGTTTATAATGGTATTTAAAATCGTTAACTAAATTGTAATTGACTAGTATTACAAAAGTTAAAGCTTAGCTGTTGACCAGTGAATCAGGGGCTTTGTCAAAAAATTTTCCTATTTCTTTCGCTGTGAAGATTGCAGCTTTCTTCAGTTTGTACCCATGGGATGTTCTTTTCAACAATGAACGGAGCTTTTTGTAATTTTCTATGTTTACGTACTGATGGACAATTATAACGTTGTCTTTAACATTAAGTACATCTTCCATAGCGAAGAAGACTTGTATTTTTTTAACAAATAAATAAAATACGCCAAGATATTATTTTCCGAAAAGAAACTGATGTTTTTTTGAGTTGTTCAGTCCATAAATGTACTGTAAGCGGATTCATAGTTTTTCTTGGATTTTTTGGGCAATAACTATAAAGTAGCAGCTCAAATAGCTTCCCTAATTTCAGATAGGGTGCAGACCATTTCATCATCACTGTCGTTCTCTACTTTCATAAAAACACAGTGAAAAGAAAACACGTAAAATACCGTTTGAAATAATCTAAGCAAACTTTTTTTTAAGCGTAACCATAAAAGAATGGCGTTGTTTGATGGTCATGAATGCAATAATAAATAATAGTATATTATTATACTAGTTTAATAAGACGTCTTATTGTGGCACGCATGGGTTTGGGGCACGACGAGCGCAGCGAGGAGTGCTCCAAAGGAATAAGTGCCACAATGCGTCTTATTAAACGATTATAATATACTATTTTTTCTACTTTGCATCTGATCGGAAACAAAAAATTAATAAAAATTCAAGGTTATAATTTAGGGCCTTTTAATTCGAAAGGTTAGTTGTAGCGTTGTGGCTAACTTCAAAATGTCAAAGTTTGACATCTAACCACCGAACACTAACAATCTAACCTAAGTTTGCTTCAAAAAATGGAAGAAGGGGGCCCCACTTCATGCACGTCATACAGTTTAACAACTGATCCCATTATTAAACTGGTTTCGGTTTAATAATGAGGCCATTGTTAACGCAAAGTAGAAAAAAAATTTTTAACAGCTACAATCAAGCGAGTAATAACGGACATAGCTAACTACAAAAATTTGTATAAAGAATAGAACAGTTACTAAACAGTCGTACTAGATAAACTTCATTATTTAGGGTCCGCCCATTTAAAATGATCTCTCATACACAAATGTTTTGAGAAGGAAGCTTTAAGAGTTTTTCTAATGTTGTTTACTATAAGTAACTAGTCAATGGTTTATCATGCAGAATGTGTTTTAATAGTTTTTAACAATTATTATTATTATGACAAATATTGAGAGATGTTTTAGATTTAATCTAGTAATATTCTATTACACATTTAACAGTCTTTTGCTTCAGTAACAAGAACTCTTGATTTTAGGGCAAGTAGGTGAAAGCTTGGTATGCAATCATGCAAGAGCTTATTATTTCTTTGCTGAATCTATAAGAAATAAACATGCGTTTAAAAGCAAACGCTGCAATTCTGTTGAAGAAGCTTTATACGGCCGTTGTCACGAAGAAACAGAAGTTTACATGGGACAAGCAGAAACTTACAAGTAAGTAATCAACGTTCTATATATAATTTATGCATGTGCCTAGAAATGGTCTCAAAACTTTAGCGTGTACCTTTTTTCGTTATATTAACTTAGCTTTGATTTTTTTGTAAAATGTCAAATAGGGTACATACGAGTTGCTTTCCATAGTCGGTTTTTGACCCTCCGCCGAAAATTGCATATAGGTAAATTGGTTGCGATGGCCAAGGGACGGTAAATTTTATGAGGTCGAAGATCAAATTACCTTTTTTAATTTAGGAACTCGCGAAAAAATCCTGGGTAAGATGGACGATGGAGGTGATGTGCGCGGTGCGCGACCATCTGCGTAAGTTTTTTGATTCTGTGGACAAGCTAAATGACATGCGACTTGGACATCAATCTCGACCTATTGGCTATCCTGCTAATCTATAGCCTACCCGCGAGTTTCGAGGTGTTCCGATGTGCAATTGAATCGTGAGACGATTTACCGTCGCTGGAATCGCTGCGTATCAAAAATGTAGAGGACAGCGACGCGCAGAAGAGCTGCGCGAGCGGCGGGGGCGACACATCCGGTGCGATGGTTCCCAACAAAAATGGCGGCTGGCGAAAGGACAAAGAGAAAGCGGAAGTGGAAGATGGAATAATGTGGGCTCGAAATTTCGCTGCTTCAAGTGCGGACGGTTATGGCGCAAGGCATCCGAGTGCTGAAGCAAACAAAGGGGCGAGCGCGAAAAACACGCAAGGAACGTCTGTTTGGCGGTATTTCAGCGCTAAGGGATTACTAACTCAAGTCTGAACTGGTGCCTGGACAGAGGGGCCTTGGTATATCTATGTAACAAGGCGAGCCAATTCATAGAGATCAACCGATCGAAAACTGGTACACTTTAAGTAACCGAGGCTTTAATCTTCGTTAGTGAGCTTGTGCAAAGGAATTCGGAACTTAATCATGGTTATAGTTATTTACGTGGCAAGTTTAGTAAATTAGCCTTTACCGGCGAGCGAGCTCTGTAATCCGGTGAGCCCCTGTAAAGGCTAATTGCAAGCGAGCCGCGTAGAAAGTTTTAGTTCCTCTTGCTGAAAATCCTGAAAATTAACAACTTTAGCATCTCTAGAATTTTTACTTGAAATTACAGTCATAGAAATTATAGTTATTTTCCAAAGTTTGCTCTGGTAACTATGGAAAATTGAATTGTTTGAAGATAAGGCGACTGTCAATTCGTAAATTCGATTAATAATTTAAATAGTTTAATTTTGTTTCTGAGCTCTATTAATTATGGAATTCGATAAAGATGAAGAGTTTGAAGGTGATTTTAACGTTAGTATTAGTGAGATTAAGCAAAAGGTGGACACAGCGAATGTGTGTTTGATTCCGGTGCTTGTAAAGCTGTCATGGTAACGCTTTACAGGTAGGGTGCGTGTAAAGACTAATTTAACGAGTTAGTTCAAACGACAGTAAATGAGCTTTTAACAAGAGGAAGTAAAAAATAAGGGGGCATAAATCTTGCGAACGAAACGTCCACTGCGACAATGGGCGTAGGCGTAAGTATAGTACAGTTTGGGGCACGCGTGTTCGGCGAAACGGTGAGCGTTTCGATAAGTGAGACTCTCCACGTATCCAATCTAAATAAGGACGAATTTAATGTCCGCGAGCAAAGTCACGAACCGCGGACTAGAAGTTCAATTTCGGCGTGACGACGCGGTGGTCGTGGACTCGGACAGAAACGTGCAGTTGTGTACGGACAGGATCGGAGACTTATATTATGTAAGCAAGTGGGCATAAGCACGACGCGCGTTGGGGTTGTAGTGAGAAGAAAATCTCGCTCGGACTGTTACACAAGCGATCGGAACACGCGAACGCGAGGGATGACGTCGTCGACACCATACGGAGCTACTGCACCTGGTGCACACCGATGTATGCGGACCAACGAGGATGCCATCACTGGGAGGTGCGAAGTACTTCGTCGAGTTCATCGACGACAAATCCACATGTTTCGAGACTCGGTTTTTGACTCGAAAGCCGAGGTGTTCCAGGCTATACAGGAGTACTTGGCTCTCGTCGAAAACCAGAAGGACAAGACCGTTAAGTGTTTGCAGTCAGACAACGGCGGCGAGTATACAAGCGCAACGAGGATATAGATCGCTCAAGAAGAGTAAAAACAAGTCGACGTGGCCGACCAAGAAGCAATGCCGAACCCGGATGCTATCGAGCAAAGCTTCCGGTCCGAGATTGCAGTGAGGAAAACGCTGAGCGGTCTCGATGCAGGCGACTGGCGGCGGGCCATAGCGGCCGAATTGACGTCCGCTATCAAGAATGACACCTTCACTTTAGTGGAACGTCCCCAGCGAAGTCCTTAGAAATAAGTTCAAGTCAGATGGGATCTTAGAGAGAAGGCAAGTTCGATTAGTTGCCCAATACTTTAGCCAGCGACCAGGTATACATTTCACAGAGACATTTGCTCCTGTTGCTCGTTTCAGCTCCATTAGACTAATGGCTTCCGCCCGCCACGACATTGCAATCAAACAATTTGACGTCGCAACTGCATACTTCAACGATGGGTTAGACGACAAAGTATTTATGGAACCGACGAAGGAGTTCCATGAGGTTCTTAGCAGCATCATCGACGCCAAGACAGATACCTCGATCGTAGCGAAAGCCACCTGTTTGCTCCAGGCGCTATGCAAGGGCGATAGAGTTTGCTTGCTCAAGAAATTGCTCTACGGTTTACGACAGGCGAAATTAGGGTTCTGGGGGATGTGAGGCACTGCTTGGGCGTGGATTTTTAGCGGGAAGACGACCGGGTAACAATGCATCAGCGAGGCTACATAAATGACGTGCTTTCGCGTTTCGGCATGTCCGATTGCAAGCCGGTCGCGACGCCTAATGATCCAGGAATGAAGTTGGAGAAGAAAATTGACCAGACTCAAGAGAATTTCGCGCTTCTATATCGCGAACTTATGAAAGCGCTCATTTACTTGTCTTCGACCACGAGACCCGACATCGCCTTTGCCGTGTGTCATTTGGGGCAGTTTAGCAACTGCTATGGTGCAGAGCACTGGAAAGCGGCCAAACGAGTTCTACAATATTTGAAGGAGACGATGGACGTAGGGCTCACCTTCGCCGATCAGGGCGTTCGCGGACGCCGACTGGAAGGCCAGCGTGGAAGATCGACGATCGTACACCGGTTATATATTTCTTTTGAATGGAGGTCCCTTGTCGGGGGGCGCAAGGTAACAACGAACGGTGGCGTTATCTACACCAGAGGCGGAGTACAATGCGCTGCCAATGCTTGACTAAAATTAGAGAACATAACACAGGCCTTCGATGAAAAACTTGACTTAAAATGAACAGATAAATGCGATGGATTTTCGGATAGTAATTACTTACCTTAAAAAAATTAGTTAAGCATTTCATTACGTAGTTTAAAAAAAAGTAGGTTTTCAGCGGTTCGAAATGCAATAATATATTTCAAGTACATTGCATAGTGATCCTCAGATGGTTGAGCAAGTCAAAAATGAAGAATTAGTGTCAAATTGAAAATTTAGAAGAAAAAGTTTAAACATGAGTAACATGCCTTTTGAGAAGAAACGACGATTTCACAAAGATTTTTATTAATAAGTGAACAAAAGTATTTTTGTTAATACATATATATATATAAAAAAAAAGCAAATATAAAACAAATATCTAATTTTTCTTTAACATTGTGTATTTCTTAAATTTTAGTTTTTCACATTTTTTTCCAAATGAACCTTACATTATAGCATAAAATGGTGCTCGTAAGTAATTAAGAATACAACAAATTTGCAAAACAATTGTTACAACAAAAAGCGGTTTTTAACATTCAAATTTTGCAGACCGGTGAATTAGTCTTTTGTTTACAAAAACATTACTCTATCTTTCAAAAACAGCGTATTGTTTATTAAAAATTTTAAAATTAAAAACTGCCCATAATATAGAATATCTATAAGATGGTATTAAAACAATTTTTTTTCCTGGAAAAGCTAAAACGAGTAGAAAATTGGGGTAGAAAATTACTATATATTAAATTAATGAAGACATGCTATAAAGAAAAACTTACACCTTTACGATAAAAAAGACTCATCTTAATTAAGAATTAAATTGTTCCAGGTCTGGATTGTATTATATTCGTACCAGAGCTCAACCGCCGTACAGTTTATCCAATAATTAATAAATTATCTTGATGTTTACATTAATAACATACATAAAAATTACATTTTTTGATGAAAATTTTGGTTGTAATTTTCTTTTGTCCATCCATATACAGGGTGCCGCATGCAAGTGTGGACATAGGGAATTAACATGGCAAATTGGTTTTTATTTTATAATATCTCCCCAGATCACTTTAAAGCTATTATTGAGTGATGCCTTTGTGGAGGTTGCAGAGGGCTATCGGCCAGGATTTTTTCAAATCGTTGCATCGCGCTCATTTACTGTAAAAATATTTTAAAGCTTGTATTTTGAAATTCGTGCCCGATCCGATTTGTCGCGAAATGTTCCGTCGCATTGTCGAAGTTCGGCGATCGCGTCTTTGGATTAACCATGCAAAATCCAAATTTCAAAGTGAAATTAGAAATTATTCTCAGAAATCAACGAACAACTCAAACTGAAATATTTTATCCAGTATGATGATTATTGTGGGAAAATAACTGCTCTCAGCAGCTGTACAGTAAGTAAACCGATCTTCAAAACTCCTACGCGTGTTGATTAGCATTTGAGTTGAAATCTGAAGACAATATTGCTGGATTGCTTGTTTGTATAGCTAGTATTGTTCGAATACAGATGGTCGTGAAGAAATCTCCAAAGAAAAAATCCCAGGGATTTAGATCCGGCAAATGCACAGGCCAAACTTTCCATTCCAACATTGCGGGAGAATGGTGGTTCAAATAAACAACATTTATGCGAGCTGTATGGGTGGAGATTTGGTCCTGCATGTAAAAGACCTGCTGCAGATGCCGCACCCTTCGAGTCCCTGGAAGTATTTGCTGAGCTAGCATATTGTCCTACTTCTGAGCATTCAATCCAGATTCGATGAAAAAAGGTGCAATGACATGATGTGCTAGAAGCCCCAGTCACACACTGACAGCTGCACGCCATTGATAACGATGGTCATGGACCACGTGAGGGTTGTGTATTGCTCAAATTTACTATCTTATCTACTTTTGCATTTTCTCAACCCATGACCCTTAGAGGACGAAGAAATAGGTCTCCTGTTTCCGTCTGTCTGCCATCCCGGATTTTTATTAGACAGATAATCTCCGAAAGTACTGGGCCGATTGTTGTCAAATTTTGTACTTATATTAGGTATATCATGTAGATGGTAAAACGCTGACCAAAATTTGTCGAATCATCCCCACCACTAATGTGATGACGTCACTTCAAAATTGTACATAGTAATTGGGTTTTAAATTGTATCAAATAACATAGTCTTACACATGTAGTTATGACTCCGAATTGAGATTTTACCCGAAACGTCCAGATTTTTGGGAAAAAAAAAATCAAAAGTAGGAAACAATATTTTGACATTTAATTTGGAATCTACAAAACCGAATGCCTTGAAATCGTGCAGATGGTTTACAATTATGATAAGCATGATAAAATTTTAATCACAATATATTTACTTCTCCCCTCCAAAAAATTCATGACGTCAGCTGAAAAGTTTGTCGAATAAATCTTGTCTAAAACGTACAAAGTATGATGAGACAATCCTTGTGATTTATCATTCCATTCATATTTTTTGAATTCGCATATACAGGATGACTCACAAACCTTAATGAATGCATGAATGAATTTTATTGATTTAATCAGGAACTACAAAACTGAATTCTTTGAAATCGTGTAGATGTTTTACAGTTATCATAAGCATGGTAAATTTTTAATCAAAATGTATTTGCTCATCCTCCCTAAAAAATTGATGACGTCACCCCAAAATTTTCCTGAATAAATCCTATCTAAATTGCACAAAATATGATGAGTCTGTACTTGTGATTTATCATTCCATTAATATTTTTTGCATTTGCGTATACAGGATGACTCAAAAAAAGTTATCATTGTCCTTCAGGAGCGAGGGAAGTTCTGTCGAAACAACTTTCGACCAATTTTTTTTAGCCGTAGTTACATACAGGGCATTTTTTTAACTCTGAACATAGACCGCAAATGGCTTATGTTCAGTTTTAAAAAACACATCAATGCATTGGTAACTATGCAACCAACATTACGCATGTCCGCTACCATGCCGCCTAGAAAATGAAGGTGGTCACTTCGAGTATTTATTAAAGTAAATGTCGTACTTGTTTCTGTTAGTAAATAAATTTCACATGTTCGTTAATCGTGTTTACTTGAGTCTGCTTGAATGTTGAATGATACTAATGATAGCACAATGACAGTTTGCAAGTTGCAACACCATTTTGTATTTTGTAATAAAGCGTAGTTATGCAACCAATATTACACGTATTGATGTGTGTTTTTTAAAATTGAACATAATGCCATGTACGGTCTATGTTCAGAGTTAAAAAAATACCTCTGTATAACTGATGGTTGTACTTAGTTGGCAACTATAGGTAGTGGTAATTATTGCTAGTGGTAATTGCACAATGTGCAATTATCACGTAATTCTATGCTGATTGGTTGAATTTAGAAATATTAACACGTTTGATTCATCATGTGACATGTGAGTGCAATAATAAATTAAAGAGAAATACGAACGTATTTAAGTATATATTATTTTTTTATCAAATTAGTAAATAAATTCTGAATAAATGTTAATGAGTTTTCATTGACTCGCAGCGGTGAAACCATTTTTACAAAAAGTATTTCTATAATAATAGTGTAAAGAAAGAAGAGTTAATTTCATTTATCAGTGATTATCACAATATTAAATTGATTTAATTTCAACAGGTACTATCTACCTTGTCAGTTTGCGTCTTATAAAAAATGAAATTTACCAGATGCTCAACGCGTTAAACAGAGAGCGATAGACCCCACGGTCTACCGCTGACGTCATATGACCGTCTGATTTTTGATTGGTTGTGGTCTCTAGGCTTCGACTGTGTTAGTTTATTATCCGTGGCTCAGGACTTCAGGACCTTGGATAGAGAAGAGAAGGGCTATATCTCTATACTAGGGATGGGCAGATTCGGTCATCACCAGTACGCGGGAATTTGTTTCACCGCTGCAATTCCCCAGTTGAAGTAAGGTGTGTTTTACGGCGAGTAGCGGCGACGCGACGCCTTGATCTGGTCCACAAGGTCGTAGCCAGTGCGTCGCTAGGAGTGTTTACAGCTAGTAAAAAATTGGTCTAAAGAGTTTAGACAGTACTTCCCTCGCTGTCGGAAACTTGACGACTGCATGCCTATTGTGTTTTGTTTCTCATTACATTTTTGTAGTGGGAATTTAAAAAAAAAATTGCGATGACGTCATCAACATTTTTGCAAGGACACGTATATCATTTGGGATAGATGTAGTGTAATACTAAGAATAAAATTATTATATTCTCAAATTTTCGGGAAAATGAATTGGGTCGTTTTGAATATTGATTTGTAATAATCAATAAAATAACGAAACAATTTACTCACGTATACGTATCAGAGGCAACTGAAAATCGTGTATGTATAAACATTCTTAATTTAAGATGATGATGAGGACCCGGGGTGGGCTAGTTAGCATCATGCTTGCCCGCTACACCTTGGGTCGTGGGTTCGATTCCCGCCATGGCTCTGGGTGTAACGTGTATGTCCCGTACCCCTGTAATTGGGCCTCAGTGCCTGTTGGGGGACCTAATTAATAAAATAAAAAAAATAAAAAAATGACAGGCGTAACGTGAGAGTCAAACAGAGAAACTGTAAACAAAACGACCATCGGTTTTATTGCTTCGACTTCCGCTTATTATATAAAACATTGGGTTTTATTTTAATTCTTGACGGTGAAATTCACAATTGGTTGATTATAAACATGTCTATTTCACATTCGCGGAACCAAGTGAACGCATAAAACAAATGCAGGTCTGTAATGTTAAAGTCGATGTAAATAAGCGTGCTACCCTTATGTTTCAACCGAGTTTTTCCTTTAACAAATTTTGTGTCTACCAAATTGGGTTGGTTGGGGTGTAATACTAATAATAAGTGTTGCCTTTAATTTAATCAATAAAATAAATTGACTTCATTAATTTTTTTCAACCACCTCTTAAGAAAATCTAAAAAATATGAATGGAATGATAAATCACAAGTACAAACTCATCATATTTTTTGCATTTTAAATAGGATTTATTCAGCAAAATTTAAGGGTGACGTCATCAATTTTTTTAGGAGGGATGAACAAATACATTTTGAACAAAAGTTTACCATGCTTATAATAACTTTAAAATATTCCCAAGATTTCAAAGCATTCGGTTTTGTAATTCCTGATTAAATCGATAAAATATATTCACGCCTTCATTAATTTTTTTGAGTCACCCTGCATATGCAAATCTAAAAATATGAATGGAATGATAAATCACAAGTACAGACTCATCATATTTTGTACATTTTAGATACGATTAATTCGGCAAACTTTTGAGCTGACGTCATCAGTTTTTTGTAGAAGATAACCAAATATATTTTGACTAAAAATTTATTATGCTATTTATAACCTTAAAACATCTGCAAGATTTCAAAGCATTCGGTTTTGTAGTTCCTGATTAAATCAATAAAATAAATTTACGCATTCATTAATTTTTTTGAGTCACCCTGTATATGCAAATCGACAAAATTTGAATGGAATGATAAATCACAAGAAGAGACTCACCATATTTTGTACATTTTAGATAGGATTTATTCAGCAAAATTTTGTGGTGACGTCATAAATTTTTTAGGGGGGACGACCAAATACGTTTTGATCAAAAATTTACCATGCTTATGATAATTTTAAAATATCTTCAAGATTTCGAAGCATTCGGTTTTGTAGTTTCTGAGTAAATCATTAAAATAAATTTACGCTTTCATTTATTTTCTTGAATCACTCTGTATATGCAAATCCAAAAAATATGAATGGAGTGATAGATCACAAGTACAGACTGATCATATTTTGTACATTTTAGATATGATTTATTCGGCAAATTTTCGAGCTGACGTCATCAAGTGTTTGGAGGGGATAAGCAAATATATTTTGACTAAACATTTATTATGCTCTTTATAA